TAGTATATTAATTGCTATAATTTTAACTGTTTCATTAATATAAAGTAGTGGTGATTGCTATGGTTTTGAATTAATACATGCATCTAAATGTTCTAAATAACCATCTAATGCCACATAATTATTATCTTTATCCTTTTTAATTTTAGCAAATGCTAAACAGCCAATAAAAGTATATATCTGACGATTTTTTCTTGTTAAAGAAGATTTTAATTTTATATTACTTCCACAAGAACATTGAAGTATATAAAGTCCTTTTTTTTTATCACTATATCATGTTTTCCACTTACTATCCTGCTTCAAATTTTCTAGTAACAAATTATGAATTTTTAAAAATTGATATGCATCTTCTTGAGATTTATTTTTCCATTCTACATGTACAAATGCATTTGCTGTTAATGATCGAAGTTCTTTTTTTGGTTATCATTTAAAATTAAATGAGATGGTATTTGATATAAATTTTCAGATAAAGCAAACATTTTATTGAAAAATCTTAAAATTTTGTATTTTACGTATTATTTACATTATGTATAAATATATATTGTTTAATATTTAAAAATAGTATTCAAAAAATATAACATAAAAGGAAATTTAAACTGCCGATCAAAATGATCTGCATCTGAGGGTGGTATATAGTAAGATCATTCTGTTATACGTAATATAGGAAACATTTTTAGACATGATTGTATAACATGTTTTTAATAAAACAAATATGTGTCCACGTAATATTAAAATATAAATCATATACACGTCTGTATAACAGTTAAAAAATATATATTTAAAATGAGAGCAACAGGTGAATGGGAAGGGAAAAATAGGTGTTTTACTGTTTTTACACTATAATTTTTGTAATAATCAATAAAAGTTATTTTATTTTTACTTAGAAAATTTTAAAAAAATTTTTTTTTTGATAAATTTAAAAATAAAAATTTCGCGTATTGGTGGCATTACAAAAAATATGAATAAATCCATAAATATCTATTCAATTATGATAAAAATTTATATATGAGTAGATTTGAATCTGCTAAATAACTTTACTTAAGAAGGTTTTGAATGTTTCCTTTGACTAAAGTGCCTAAATTACGCTCTGAAGTCACAGAACAGATATATAAAAATATTAATAAGAAACATTTATAAGTTGTAATATTACAAAAAAATAATAATAACTTTATTCATACATTATTTCAAAAATTTTTGTTTTTTTAGTTTTTTTATATACATATTATATAAAAAAAATTATATATAAATATATATATGTGATATGCCATAAAATAAGTTGCTTAGCAATGTAAAAAATTTATGAGTTAAATAAAAGTTTGCTTAGCAGACATGAAAAATATTTGCTTATTGACCTTAGTAAATTTTGAATTTTTCATCTGACCTATATATATATATATTGTTCGGGATCCTGAATTTATTACAAAAATATTGGAGATATTTAAAAGTATCTTTAATTAAAAAATAAAATTGCAGGCAAATTTGGCTGCAAAATAGTTTAAGAGATAAACTTCTGGTAGATTACTATAATAATGCTTATAACTTAGAATTTGTTACTATAGCCAAATCTATGAAGAATAATAATAAACTAGTTGTTGTCTGGCCTTAAGTAAATCAGTTCAGGCACATTCAAATTAGAGTAAAGATATTCAGATCAACAAATACATCCTACTATTTAAAAAATTTGTTTATTCTTGCTAGTGTTCCGCATGAATCAAATTTCTCCTCTGAAATTCGATTCGATTCAGACTCAATTCAGACTCAATTTGATTTTTAAAAATTATTATCTCTGGATCTAGTGATCCAATTTCGATGATCTTTTTTTAATCGATAGATATCTTTGCCCTGATCATAATAAAAAATGATTGTCAAAATCGGACTGTTAGATTAAAAGTTATTCGCAAAATACGTTTTTATTATTCAGGAACAATCAGGATCACACCGTGTCATGAATCAATTCATGCAGAACACTAATTCTTGCAAAGTTCGTGCAAAAAAATGATTCAATAAAAATATACTCAGGCCAAGTTTAATATTACTTTGAACATGAGTTGAAGATAGGAAATGAAAATAAGATAATATATAAATTAGCTTTTATAAAGTGGTTTATACTGGCTTACTGGCTTCAAATCATCAAACAAAATTTCATTTTCAAGTTGATGATACCAAAGGCTGTAATGCAAAAATCTGAAAAAATATTTTTTTCAAAATCGATAGAAACTGCATAATTTCAGTACACAATATATTTGGTCAATTTATATCAAATAAATATAAAATCAGAAAAAAAAATCCAGTAATTTATATGGCTGTTCTTCCTATAAAAAGAAAATTTAATTGTTCGAAGCGTAAAAGAGGATATTAACAGTTAAATACATTGTAATGCAAGGTATGTCTGTTCACACATATAATTAACCAATAAGATTCTATTTTATTCTTTAATAGACTTATAATCACTTCCATAAACTTTTTAATACTTTGATGAATTGTATTATCATTCATTATTTTCTTGGTAATAATTATTTTTTGAACAATAAATCTTTTTTAATATATATATGAAAAAGTGCCAGTCTGAAGTTAAATAAAAAAAGATATAAATTAATATATATAAATGATTAATAAAAAATTACATAAAAACTAAAAAGTTTTACCTGTAATTACAATTCTATAGAAATTGGTGTTCTATATAAATTCATCAGTAAATATTTAATGTGTAGTTTATATATAAAAAAATTACAATAAATGCACAAAATCTTACTAGAATTACTAGTTTAATTTTAACATATTATTATTTTATTTAATAATGTAATTTTATTATTCAGTATTTTGAATATTTTTATGTAAATATTTTGCACATTTTTAAACAATAAATTGTATAAATCTAGCTGAATTAATTACACATTTAAATATACTAATATATTTACTTATACTATATATTAATTATGTAATTATTTATAAATACATTACAGTTCTTTCTTTATTTATTTTGTAAAGAAATACTGTAGTTTATAAATAATTATTATTAATTATTATTAATTAATATGTAAAAATTTTCTATAAGGAACTTAAAATTAAGTATTTGTCTTTAATTTTTTCATAATTCTAATAATATATTCAGATTTACAACTTATTTTATTGTAAATAAAATAACAAATTGCCATTGTGAAGTTTTTATTATTTAAAGTAAATTCAAAAAGCCAAACATATATAATAATTTCATTTTGATAAGTAGTATAATTGGTATTTTATAGATTATTTTACTATTAAGAGTAACATTAAGTTTTTGAATATTAAGAAAGAATACTTTAAAAAATCTATTTTTAATAGAAGCAATAGTACTTACATAAGAATATCAAATAACTTCCTTTAAATAGATTTTTAAATGATAAAATACAAATATTAAATAATATATATTCATTTTAAATATAAATCAACATAATTCTATTAAACAAGTATATAAGTATTTTAAATTTTTTCAATTCAAAAATATTAAATAAAAAAATTAAAGTTTTGTAAATATTTTCACATTTTAGATGAATTTAAAGAAACATATATATTAAAACACATTAGCATTATTCTTATACTTCATTAAAGCTTAACAAATAAAACAAATTTATTCTTGTTACAATACTTTTACAAACTTACCAAAATCTCAATTATAGTCATGCACTTGATACGAAAGGAAAAAGAAAAAACTTATTACCTTGCTACATTAGATTAGCAAATAGATATTAAAAATCTATCAATTGGATATCATATAGGACATTCGCCAAAACCAAATGTTTGTAACACATGTAATGCTAAATTAAATAATGATAGTGATATTATCTGTGGGCATAGTCAGATATGTTATAATATTATAAATGAGATGTATTTGATAATGTAAAATTATTTTTAAATAGATTACAAAATGGAACAACTACAATATCATTTAAACTTTGCTTGATGGTAAAAAAAATACTATCATTTATAATACAAATTTATCAGTTTCTTTTTCATTATTCATAAATATAAAAACACTGGATCAGGGCATAGAAAACAAGCTAGCTGAGAACAGATGTGTTTACTTAGTAAAAAAATTATGTCATAGCTATGTATTTTTGATATATGATATGGGTCAGAAATCAGAATTTTATCACCGTCGCTTGTTGATTAAGACCGTCTCTTGTTGATTAAGACCCTCTCTTGTTGATTAAGACCGTCGCTTGTTTGATCTGTAGAATACTTCTATAAATAGCTGTATTGAAGTATGGCAAGCCTACCTAGGGATGGTTAGGTCGGTCCTGGTCCGGTCCTGGTCCTGGGACCTATAAGTCCTATTGAACGGACCTGCGGACCAGGTCCTGTTAGGACCAGTCCTGGACCTGTTCCCAGGACCTGGAGATGTGTATAAGAGACAGATTTTGACCTAAGTTGACGTTAATCGAGTAATTAACCGGTTAACCGGTTAAGATATATCTCAAAATTCGATAAATTATCTAAATCATAATTCTGATAAATTC